CACACACACACACACACACACACACACACACACACACACACACACATATATATATATATATATATAACCAAGATAATCCTGGGAGCCTTGAGGTTATTTTTTTCTTAATGAAAATATTTATTTGTGATAAAAAGCCTATTGGGGTAGGAACTAGCAGACAACATTGGAGGGCCGTAGAGTAGACACATTGGTATAAGGGAAACAAGAGCATTTATAAAAACTTATCCGAAAATAAAAACAAAATCCTACAGGGATTTTGGAATTTTTCTAAAAATGAGGAACAAACATTGTGACTAAGGGTCAATTAATCAGGATGTTATTTACATTTTCAGAATTCTAATGCACTTTCTTTTAAGGCAAGGTGGCTACATTGCCTTAACATCAAATATGCTATCTCCTAATCTTTTAATAATATTTTTAATGGTGGATTGTTTTTAATATTGTTTATTTTGTTGCTTGTTTGTTGTTTTCTGCCTGAAGTCAGGTTTGCGAAAAGGGCAGCTATGATAGGATGTATAATATACATACAAACCCTGATTGAAGAGAAGACAAATTAGACTGCAGTGTGCAGGGGAAGGCATTAGACGTTTTGCCTTCATCCCTAACATCACTTTTGCCTTTGTCATGTTTCAGAAAAAAGTCACTCACACCACACCTTTTGGCTTTTAAAGAGAAAGCTCTAACGGAAGCCAATCAGGAACACAACAGTTCTAAGACTAAAAATATCTGCTTGCTTGTCTTCTTTTGTCATCATGCTGGTTTATGTATTATCTTGTAGGTCAAAGTGAACATGAATAATTGTTACAACCTCTCAGATTTATGCTTGTGGGCAATAGAATACCATGTCATGGTATACTACTACTCAATAATCTTAGCCCAAGGGTTTAGATGAAGATATCCGGTACTTATCCTTGATTTAAACATGTCTCTCTTTAAGGTTTCCCTTGCAGCTCACAATCCCTTTTGTACTACAAATCAAAGAACTGCTCTCAACCTCAGTTGGTTTTGCAAAACACTCTCATTAATTCCATGAGGTAAAATAATTCTGTGCCTTACTTTTTCTTTATTGGAGATTTTTCTTCTTTTTCATTTACTTTCATTCCCAAAAGAGGTAAAACAGTTGCTACATGTTTCTAATGGTGATGTGCCTTGTAACTAATTATTCTTATGCTCGTGAAGGCAATATTCTTAAATTTGGTATCTGAGTTCCATAAACAGGTATTTTTAGCCTAATTCAACAATTTATTCCTACAACTTGAATTTATTCTCTTTTAGATATTTGCTGAACTACTTGAAATGTACCCAAATTATCTATTCTAAAAAATATTGTTATATCATATATGTTTTGTTCAAGTTATTTTAATGCCATTTTTGTACTCTCTTTATTTTCACCATTATCCATCTGTTGAGATGGATAAAACCTCTTTTACTGGAATGTGAGATTCCTCTTTTCTCTTTTGTTTCACAAATTATCCTGCTCCTATAGTAAACAGGAGTCCTTGCTGGAGATGGTCAAAAAGTTAAGATGGTGGCTACAACCATGCCAGGCCCATTTTTATGGGCATTGTGATCTAAAAGGGTAAACTTTGATAAGATGATTGTAGACACCATCTTCATTTTTTTGAGCTCTCCCTGCAGACACCAGTGACAGAAAGGGAGCCCATGTATTGAGGGAAAGCAATTGTTGAAACTCAAGAAAAACTGGAGAAGAAGGGCACCATTTTGCCAAGTCTGCTTTGCAGCATCTTTAATATGATGCTTCATCTGCCCCTTGGGAAGAACAGCAGAAGAAACCAAAGCTACTGCGAGGACCTGAGATGCTAGTTTCTCCACAATGGGGTTAGCAAGGCAGCCTTCAGTAAATCCTGACTCTTCTTTGGCTCCAATTGTTTTGTTTTGCAGGAAATCTGTATGGAGAGAAAAATAAAGATGTCCACTGAGGGGGGGGAAGGGCATATGCAGTAAATGACTTCAAAAACATCTTGGGAATCTGGACTGATCTGTTCAGTTCTCACAAATTAACACCAGTGAGTCATGCAAAACCTTGTGAGAGCCCTAGTTTTGAATATTAAGTTTAAAAGGGCTTAAATTGCTTATAGTACTAACCTTTTCTGGATGCTTTTTCTTTTCAATTGCTATTCGGAGGTTTACTTTTTCTCTGATTCTGGAGGTGATGCCTCACCAATTGTGATTAAAATTGCTTCATTTTCTATATAAACCTATTGTAACGGAAGCCATTATAATTTGCTATTTCCTCAAGCTCCTTTCATCTTACTCAACAGTGAAATCAAGGAAGGGAAGAGGGAGATGCTACACTGTGCTTACAAAACCTTTGGAGGTTGCACCTGGTCCCCTAACTCAAAGATCTGTTGCTCTTAATATATTCAAAGAGAGCCAATAAGCCTTCATCAGTTGCTCTTTCTTCTTTGATGTTCACTCACCATATGACAGATATCACATAATCTGCAAGCTACATAAAACAGGATGCTTTTTTAAAAAAACTGCAAAATTGTATAGCAAAAATCTGGAGTATGCAGAAATGTTCCTCAAAATAGATGCATGGATTTTGCATGGCTGCTACCTGTAATGTGAAGTTATTTTTTTTAGACAGGGCAGGGACTTGAGCATTTGTATGTAACTTTCATACTGTGAGAAATTGTCCAGGAAAAAGATTTTTCCAAATATCTCACAGTTCTTGAGATGTTTTAAAAATGTTGCACAGTTCAATTTCTCTGATCTCCAATTTTAAATTATGTAAGCAACTCCATAATTATTATTTTTTTAAATATATGGCTTAAATGCTAAAATCACCATAGGACAAGAAATAAAAACAATAAAAGACAACCCTCTCCAAACAAAATTGAAAGAAAATAATTATTGAAATGTATATTTAGTAATCTCAATGGTTCCTTTCTAATGGTTGTGAAATTATTGTATTGGTTATGGAAAACAATAGTATTGGCTGGTAGATTCTTATATGTCTCTCAGTGATTAATTATGTGACATCAAGTTGGTATCAACTCTTAGTGACCTCATAGATAGACCTTCTCCAGGATAATCTGTCCATACCTAACCCTTCAATCTTCCAATAGTATACCAACTGCTATTGTACATATGTCACCCATTGACCTTGCTACCGATTGTCTTCTTCTTCCTCCCATTTTTACCAGCATTGTGGGTTCTTCAAGGAAATTGGATCTTTGGGCCAAAGATAACATAATAGACCAACATATTATAATTTGAACTTAGTCACTTGTGCCTCAAGTAAGAATTCCGCATTGATGTATTGTATGAATGATTTGTTTTTGTGGCGCTCCATAGGATTCTGAAAAGTCTTCCCCAAAGTTCAAAAGCCTCAATACTTTCTCTGTACTGTTTTTTCAAAGTCCAACATTTATCATGGGGAAACCATTGCCTGCTTGGTTATGATCTTTGTAGATGCAGAATATCGTAGCAAGTTAATTCCTTCTGAATTTGGAGAATTTTTGGAAGACTTTTCTTATATTTCTAAATCTGTTTCATCTCTGATGTCTTCACAGATGTTGTTATAATATTGTTTGGGTTTTCTAACAGTTGTGTTAGAAATTCTCTGTTGAGATTCTTTCCAATATCTTTGCTGTCTTCTCTTGTTACAAGAGAAATATTTCTGCTGTATTGTCTTCTGATTGAAAGCATCTACCTCCAGTACATTTCAAGTGCTGATACCTAAGATAGATTTCTGTTGTGACCCAGCAGGAGCCATTGGAGCTGCAAACAGACTCCGACAGTGAGGGGCCCTATGAGTCGGCTTTGGAAGATGTGGAGGACCCTGGACAGGGTTCAGACTCCAAGCAGGGACCAGAGAGGCTGGTTCGCCACCAGGAGGCGCCTGAGGCATGGAACAGTGGTGAAAGCCAAAGGGAGTTGGTTCCGGACGCCAGGCAAAGGCAGGCAGATAAACGCGGAGAGCAACTATGCAGATACAGAAGATAATTGGACCCAGGTGGTTGTAATTAGGCTCCTCCCAAGAGAGTATATAAGGAGAGACTTTGGGACGAGGCTGTTTGCAGGATTCAACTAATATACCAATGCTGGAGAAGCTCTCGAGTGTATTTCTTATCTTGGAAGTCTGGATTGCTGCCCAGGTCTTGTCAGTGTATTAATTTACTGTGAATAAATTGTCTAGCAGTAATCTTGTCTTGGAGTGCCTTGGCGTAGGGAGGGGGGTCAGAACAGATTTCATATTTCATTGTGTTAAGCTTTCTTATGTTCATGCTACTTACATTCCATGTTGCCACCATAATTTGGTCTTTACAGCTTTGGATTTTCTTTTTTTGCATGGCTGCATCATCAAATAGACATCTCAAAGGCTTTAATTGAAGTACATCACCCCTGAATGCCATTTGAGATACCCAAGATCCAGCACTCTTTTATAAATCGCTTTCATGTCTATCCATGGAATTATCTTGGCAAAATATAAGCATGCTAAAATGTAGGCGTGCCTTATCATTGCTGTTATCACTAAAGTAACCATTGCCTCCAACATCTTATATCACTGCTGCCTGATATAATCCCTGGCTTGTTTTAGTTGATCCGCTGGGATGACCTTTACACCTTGGATGACCTGCTAAAAGTACACACTTTTCTTCTATACTTCTTGTTAGATATCCCCCCCCCACTGACAGTGGTTTCCACCAAGGTCCTCTGTTCCAGCGGGAACAGAGATTTAAGCCCATTGGTCAAAGGGTCTGACAGATCCCTTTAAAAGGGCTGCTGTCCAACCCTTCCTCAGCCAGATGTTTACCTTACTTGCAATAAAGAGCTGCTGTTCCTGAAGCCTTTGTGTGCTTCTCCATTACCCGATCTAACCCTTCTGATGTTCCTCGTTCTATCCTCTCGGTACTTTCCTGCCTTACCATTTTAAGGCAGCAAAGCAGGATCTCGGAGAGATGGAGCTGTTCCAAAGTAAGCTGATACAGAATAAGCCAGTGAAAGGCAATCCTGGAGGGCCAAAGACCCAGCTAAAGCAAAATTGTGAAGCTCAGGGGTGGCCTTCAAAAATTTCAGCAACAGGTTCTCTGCCCTTGCTGAGTGGGCGTGGCTATGGTGGGCATGACCTAGTCGGCCTCCTGCACCATGGCAGGAGGTGAAGCATTTTCACCTTCCTCTGGTTCTGAAGGATTTCCTCAAGCCTGTGGGAGGCCGAAAACTGCCTCCTCTGGGCTCCAGGGGCCTTCTGGGAGGCCTGTTTTTCTCCCTCCCTGAACCTCCATGCGGGTCCTGCACTTACCTTGCATCCAAAACGGGCTGCATGGAGGCTCCTGGGAGGGGAGCGGGGTGGACTGGGCCAGCTGGAGTAGGATTTGGAGGTTCTCCCGAATCCAGGTGAACCCATAGCAGCCTACCCCTGGTTTAGCTACTCCAACTTAAGAATTAAATGTGACATATAGTGTTTTGTGGATCTACAGTATTTCAGGTATACTGATATAAAACCACCGTGGGTAGTTTCAGATGTTGTGATAATCCAAGTCCCCCCCACCAAAAAAAAAATTATGCTTTAATGCATAATAGTAGCATAAATATAGCAACTATTATGTTGCATTACATGCATAGAAATTATACCTGGTTGCCCTGGAATGTTGAAGCGGTACTTAGAGCCGTACTCCGTGGACATGAACTGAGGTCCCTATAAATACAACAAAGAAGAAGACCATGTTCTCTGGAATTAACCCACCCTTATCTTCTCAATATATTTTCAGTCTCGCTAAGCTACATCCCATCCACCTTTCTCTCTGTGAGTAAACCAGTTATTCTTGCTATATTTCATTAGTTCTCTTGCTCTTTTAGAAAACATTGCCCTTTCTCCTCAGCTGCCTTTCATGTCTGGATTTCATGTCTAATTCCTTTGCAATGCCAGCTGTTATTTCTATAAATCACTGTTATTTCTATAAATCACAAGCTCATATTTTCTATGGTGTCTTTGACACAACCTCTTAGTCGAATTCTCAGCTGTAAGGAAGCCTAAGCAAGTAGTTGGAAGTGTTTAATTTTTATAGCTACTGTTAAGCTTCCAAGTCCAATACTGGTTATAACTTAGAAAGCTAGAGCTTGCTCAAAATGTTTTCCTGTTTGAGCAGAGCAACAAATGCGTACCCTGACCAATCTTCTCTTTTTATATTTAAGTGTTGAGTGCCCAGGTTTATCCAAATTGTTCTGACATTTGAGGCAGAAAACCCTATAAGTGCTTCTCCTTCAATATCACCACCTTCACCACATATCAAATCCCCGATCCTTTGCTGCCTTCTAATGGCATCTCATTCCAATTATTGGAGCCCACAGACTCACGTGTCTTGCATTTTCCGCTTCAACTGAGCCTTTTCCATATGTATTGTGGAGTGCAGGGACATGTCTGGGCTCCAGCCCTATCATAGCTTCAGCTCCCTGGTTGGCTGTGTCAAAATGTACCTTTTTGACCTGTAATATCAAACCCAGTTGGCATCTGAGAAGAGCAATGAGCTAAAACATAATGGGATGAAGGGAATGGAAATGCTGCTGGACCTGCTCTAGGAAAGGAAGAGAGGAGAAGATCAAGGTAGACCATTCCAAGACATTTTGCTGCATGATAGAAAACACAATGGCATCCAAAGTCCATATTAAGGCAATGTGTTGTGAGCTGCTATCACAAATTTAAATAAATAAATAAATAAATAAATAAATAAATAAATAAACAAACAAATAAATAAATAAATAAATGGCTTATTCAAAAGCTGCTCAATTTCCTTTGGCACCTGGGGCAGAAAATGTACAATTTCTGATAGAGAAACTCCAATACATTTAGATAACTATTTGCTGCCTTTCACGGTATACAAAATCAGTTGCCTGGGGCATATGCTTTCCTCCATTGATAGGACAAGTCTTGAAAGTAATCAGAAAGGCAGAAATGCCAAGAAAACATTTTCTGTTTCCTTAGCTGAAATTGTGACCTGCATTTTATCTATGGCCAGATCTTGGTACCAAAAGACAAGAAAGCTGTGAAATAACATATGTTATACCTCTCCATCTCATTCTTTTTTCTATTTCTTATATACTTTAAACAAAGTAGTATGAATTGCAGCATATAACTTTTGAATAAACGTTTAAATCTCTGTTGTAGTGAACATTTTGAAAAATAATGTTATGGTGTTTTTCTAAAAGCCCACAACATAAAAGGTAAATTGCATTTTGCTCTTACAGCAACACTGTAGTAAAATAAGACCATAATTATGAAGCCATTGCATTTGGCAAAACTAGGCATCCATTCTTTTCCTGTCTAGGTAGAATATAAGCAGTTGCATATTTACAGGATAACTGGGTTCTTATTAAAATTATGTCTGGGTGTTTTCAGGGGTCATATTAAGGTACAGGCTTACTCAAATAGCTCTCTTCTATTACAGCAGTTTCACTTGAAATCTTATCTATATTGACTGGATTAAGTTCTAAAACGTGATGATGATTCCTTAATGCCTTAGTATTTATTTATTTTGACAAGAAGAAGGGATGTAGAGTGAACTTGGGGAAGTGGCAGGGCAATGCAGTCTCTTACTAACCAGCTAGCCAAGCTATGATTGGCAGTGCCTTCGGTGCACTCGACTCTTGGGGGTGGATAAGTAAGCAAACAAATAAATCTCCTTCCATGTAAACAACTCTGTTTTCATAGAATCCCAATTTAGATCCAGATTTGAAAAAATCACAACAGTCTGAAACAATATCATCCTGGCATTAAAAAAAAAGAGTAAGCAAGTTTGCGGAAGATTTAATGTTATAAAACCCTCCAGTGGCCACTTTCAATGATCAGGTGCTCTGCAGGTATATTGGATTTCCCCAGAATCCCATTCATGATTGTTGACCCATTTAGAAGAACCACTCAGAAGACTATAGAATTGTAGTTTTGGTAAATGAGTTTCCCAGATGTTATTTGAGGATGCACATATGGACACTGTTTTTCCTCATGTATACCGAGACGCACACATACATTCAACCTACACAAGTCTCAGATATTTTAGAAATGTTGTCCCATTTATCTATTGTACACACAGTACATTAAAAGTGAACTGAGTAATATATATATATAGGATTGTGCTATACATAATCATTTGTGCTGCTCTGTTTGCGACATCAGATTTTAACTCTCTTAGTCATCTTTGTTCATTCTGAATCCTGACACATTCTCACCTGATCTTATAAATTTAGCAATTTTGCTTCCACAGTCTTCACCTTGCTTGGCAGTAGAGTGCACTAGATCTTGTGACCATGCAGAGAGAAGCTCAATTATCCAAAGATTTAATATTCCTCCTCTCAATACACAGACATTATCTTTCAGCATTGGTCCATATTTACAGTGCAGGGAACGCTAATAGAGTTGGAATGGTCCTTGGAGAACTTCTAGTTCCAACCCCCTGCTTAAGCAGGGAACCCTATACTATTTCAGACAAATTCTTGTCCAATCTCTTCTTAAAAACCTCCAGTGTTGGAGCACCCATAACCTCTAGAGATGAATCATTCCACTGATTAATTGCTCTAATTGCCAGGAAATTTCTCCTTAGGTCCAGGTTGCTTGTCTCTTGATTAGTTTCCATCCATTGCTTCTTGTCCTACCTTCAGGAGCTTTGGAGAATAGATTCCCCCCCTTCTTTGTGGAAGCCCCTCAAATATAGAAATACTGCTATCATGTCATCCCTAATCCTTTTAATTAAACTAGGTATATCCCATTCCTGATACTGACCCTAAGCCAGTATCAGTGGACATTGTTACTACCATTCTCAGGAAAACATGCATCCACAAGAGAAAGACAGAATGTAAAGTTAGGATACTTACTGTTTTGGTTGTGGGAAAAGTTAGAGGCTTTTCTCGAACATACCCACTGCCTGGCTGATGTACACTCCAGGGAAGAGGATACTTCCCATCAGGGAGCTGAAGGGGCTGGAAATGTGTATTGGTTGTGGATTCATAGTTATCTTGGAGGAGTTTCCTATTTAGGCAAGACAATATACAGCTTAAGAATACTTCTGCTTTCCAGCCCAAAAGCATTTTATGAAGTTTGCTCATATCCCAGATTTGGAGAAGACTCCTAAAGTTATCATAGACTGTCAAACAAAACAAGCAAACAAGCAAACTAGAGTTCCCATTTAAAGCAAAAGACCAGACTTAAATTATTTCAGATACATTAAACAAAGACCCAGCTTTCTAGAGAAGGCTCTAATGCTGAAAAAGGTAGAAGGAAAGAAAAAGAGCACAATTAGCAACAGATTGGATGGACTTAGTTACAGTGATGATTAAGGTGCCATTGGAAGACCTGAAGGACCATTGTCGTGGAGGAAAATTTATTAATGTGCTTCCTAAGCTCAACAGCAATTTGAGGGCACTTAATAATCAAGGATTTCCAAAAGACAACTGACCAGTGGCAGAGGATATGTGGAAAATGTATATTAGTTACCCAATTGTTCAACATTAGTTCTAAGGGAATTCTAAGAGAACCCTTTGAAAACTCTTGGTTGTCAATCAGCAACTGTTCAACTGTTTCTACTGGCTCCCCTGCATGATTGTACTCACAGTTTGCAGACTATGTGAAAAATGCAGTGGTTGATTTTATCCTGATTTTGCCTGAGCATTCCAGCACAAATCAGTGTACCTTGGCCTCATAGTACTTTAGTGTAGAAATACGGTTGTACAGTTCTGAATTCTAAATCCCACTGACTCAGAGACAATCTACCACATGGGAGAATCCAGACTTTCATTATCTAAAACACTCTGGTTTCATAATATCTACTTTAATGATGTCCTCTTGAGACATATCATTGATTTTACAACCTCAACATTGATGTCCAGATGCAAATAGGTCCATATTAGTCCACTTTCTATATGTAAACAGTTTAAGAGTTTTTCCCATGTTCACCACACATCACTACATTCACTTTTTGAGAACCTGGAGTGATCTCTTTTGCCAACTTAGTAAAAGTCATATGCAGCACACTGATCTGAATGAGAGTGATCAAATACCCCCTTATCAGGTATCTGTACTCAAGATTGCCTCTGTTTTTGAGAGCACCCATCTCTTACTAGTTTTGGTAATTTAATACGCTTCTCCCAAAGCAGGGTAAACATAGCTGCTTGTGCCCTTTTAGCAAATGGCACCTTCTATTGAAATCATGGTTATTAATTATTATGACTCTGCAGAAGTGAGCAGGAAATTATTTTGGATAATTTCTGCAGAGGGATTGCAAAAGCACTCTTAGAGACAGGCTACAGAAGCCATCTGTTTCAGAAGCAGGTGATGAGGTCTACCTAAGCAGCCCCAGATCTTTGGACAATGATTTCAAATGTTGATGCTCTAAATGCTGATCAAGGTGGGTGTGTTATCTTCTTGAAAAAAATCCAGTTGAGAGCCCAAAACAAATACTAACCAGAAAAAAACTGAATCCTGTAATGCACTGCCATAGTATAATTTGTAGTGGTGTGGATTATGTTGTACAAAATGTTAGTCGATGGTTATATTTGTAGAAATGTGCTGCAGAAGCAATGTGGTTCGCTTTGGTGGAGCACTTCACATTACTTCATTTCTCCCTGTCTCTCAGCTATTGCTTGCCAAAACAAGAGAGCTACGCAGTCACTGCAGAGGCAGAAGCTCTTTGGACTCTAACAAGGGAAAACTAGAGAAGACAGTGCTGGTTTTTGCCACAGCTTGCCAAAGCTTCTGGAAAACAATGCTGGAAGGCAGAGGGAATGACCTTGAGGGAGAGGAGGAAGAGTCACTTACCAAGGCAATAGTCAACTGAAAAAGGCTGAACATGGCCAAGAAATTAATGTGAGTAAATGTCTCAGACATTTCCCTAGTTCATACAAAGATAAAGGGAAAGAAGAGTGAAGTACATTCAGACTTCCATTAATCTGGGCATTTTATTATATATTATTATAGGTAGCTTTATAATACAAGTAATATCAATCTTCATGGCATTGGTTTTGTAGTCTAATATATCTTGAAGGGCTGACATTATCCAGAGGAAGCAAGGAGGGTGTCCTCTGTAGTATTCACCAAAACTTTGGCAAGCATTGCCAGAGGAGGCAAGCAGAATGTCATCTGCCTTACTTGACAGGTCTGGAGGATGAACAACATCTTTCCCAATAGGTCTTGTCAAAGCTTGGTAAGTATTGCCAGAGTGTGTTGCACAGGAGAGCACAACAAAGCCGGGTGGCTCCTAACAGTGAAGTGACTCTGTTGCTTCATGAAGCAGTTTCCAGAAAATCTTTATTTATCTAAGTCAAGCACCCCCTAGAAGATTTGCATAGCCCTACAATATCATGACCCCTCTGTCTGCAAAGAGGAAGTAATGGAGGATGAACAAGCTGAGTTTGTGGCTGTTCTCTGGTCACAGACTTTGTAGTTGCACTTTCTGGCAACATTAGAGAGACTTCAGAAAAAAGAACCATGCTGATGAAGAGATAGAATTATGAGAGTCTAGACAACCTGTGTCGTTGTTTCAGAGATATTTCCTTGCCTACACAGAGGAATAGGCAAGGATGGATAAGATGATGGATGGATGGATGGATGGATGGATGGATGGATGGATGGATGGATGGATAGATGAGAGAGAGAGAGAGAGAAATAGATAGATAGATAGATAGATAGATAGATAGATAGATAGATAGATAGATAGATAGATAGATAGATGATAGATAGATGATTCATAGATTAAAGAAATGTACTCATGTCATAAAGCGGGTGGCTGAAACATCCCAGTTACTCTCTCTCAATCTGAAACATTGTACTAATTGCCTGAAAAAGAGATACTGACCCCACAGCTGGATTATCTATTTTATCCAGGTTTGGGTTGTATTGGACAACAGGCCGGTAGTTGCTTTTATATCCTGCTCCAAAATGGAAGCCATTCCGAGGACGAAAGCCTTCCTGACCTGAGGGGGAAAAGGTTTGTCAATATTTTTCTTATTACACTGCCAGCTCAAATCACCTTTCCATCAAAGCACTGTAATAAACTATAATACAAAACAGCAGCTGAACAAGACTTCTAAATGCTGAAAACATGTTTTGATATCTTCTCAAATGGTTATCACAGGGGGGCTTGATTGCTGCTTCCTCACAAAATGGCAGTCTAGTTGAGAGTGACCATTTTATTTGGTGAATTTGCCCTCTGCCAGCTAGGACCAGCTTACTGTCATCATTTTGTGGGGAGGTCTACAGATTGCATGGGGGGAGGGACTATGTTTGGGATACAGAAGTTTGTGAAATAAAGATATTGCAGGTTACTACTTTGCTTTCTGAAGAGGAGGAAAGGGAGAGGGGAGGGGGAAGGGGAAGGGGAAGAAGGAAAGGAAATAAGGGAAGGGAAGGAAATGGAATGAAAGGAAAGGATAGGGAAGCCCAATATAATCATTTAATTAAAGCAAAAGCACCAGTAAAGAGACAAGAAAATAGATAATAGTAATAAGCATTTTAAAATACAAACTTTTACATATCACTATATGAAATATACATTTATATGATATAACATGGAATGGTTGCTGCATATAATATAATGTGGCAAATTTACATAAGTTTTATTACTTTCATATAGATGTACTGTAGCCTTGATTATATTACTTAATGTTGGTATTTTTTCCATTTCTTCCAAATTTCAAGCATTGCAGTGTATGGATGTAGAAAAAAAGAGAGCAGCCTATAACAGAAAGATATATAAGAGCAATATACCTAAGAAAGGGACACAGGTTGAACAGTAAAGCAAGAATAATGATGCATGGAAGGCAAATATAACAAGCTGGATCCCACGGAAGTCACTCCTGATCAAATATATTTATAGACTTAGCTGTTAATTCTGTGTATTTCTGGATATAATTCCCAAGCATATTGTTGAAGTTTTTAGAACAAATCTTAAAGAATCTCAAATTTGTCCTTTCCTCTCTGCTCATGTGCCACAGTTATCAACTTCTAACTTTTCATCTGGACAGATAAATTATATATTGGACATTCTTGCAATCCAAAGTAAAAAAAGCAAGGTTCAAATTCTAGTTTTTAGATTAATTGAGGAGAATACATTCTTTTCTACATTGCTTAAAGTCTTACCATAAGCTGCCCCATAGCTGGTACAATAGAATTTCATGGGGTCCATACTTCCACCAGAGCTTGTTTTTACATAGGGAGAAACTGCACCTAAGGGGAGACGTCCCATCTTCTCTGTGGATACAGGAAAAGATTTTGTGGTACAAGATTTTCCCGGGGAAATAGTTATCAGAGAAGACTGGCCGCTCATCATTTTGGAGAACTAGAAAGCTTCTGAGTACCAGAAGAAAAATCAGTTTGGCTTAGGGTTGTATTTATTTAAACTGTTTAGATCTCCTGGAAACAGAGTGAGCTCATACACAACTCTGTGACATCATAGAATCTTAAGATTTAAAGAAAAACTTAATAAAACTGAAGTGGATTGTAATTGAGATACCATAATACAACAAAATGGCCATAGCACTCGGGTTTGACAGTATATAGCATAATACTGATTTCATTTATTTGACTATTCAACATCATTTCTATTTCTCCCCAATTGTATGGATGGATGGCTTGCAATAATTACTCCATTTCAGTGGTAGGATTCAAATATTTTTAATACTGGTTCTGTGAGCGTGGCTTGGTGGGCGTGGCATGGCTTGGAGGGCGTGGCAGGGGAAGGATACTGTAAAATCTCCATTCCCTCCCCACTCCAGGGGAAGGTTACTGCAAAATCCCAACTTCCTCCCGATCAGCTGGGACTTGGGAGGCAGAGAATAGATGGGGGCATGGCCAGTCAGAGATGGTATTTACCGGTTCTCCGGACTACTCAAAATTTTCACTACCGGTTCTCCAGAACTGGTCAGAACCTGCTGAATACCACCTCCGCTACATTTAAAGCCATAAACATATAACAGAAATTATAGAATACAATTAATAAATAATCCCGGTGAATAAATTTTAATAACAACTCTCAGTGGGTAAGAAACTGTAGCTTTGCAGAAGATATTCATTTATAATTTCTTCTTAAATGTCTACCCCCTCTGTTTATTTACTTCAAGGGGTGCATTATTCCACAAACCTGAGGCAGTAACAGAAAAGGCATATTTTTTCTTGTCTCCACCTCTTTAACTTCAGAAGGAACAGGAACCCACAGCATTCCTTGCTGTTTTAATCACAAAGGAAAGGTAAATCCAAACTAGAACAAATTATTCCTCAGTAGCCAAGTATCCAAGTCATAAAATGATTTATAGGTAACAACTAGCACCTGGAACTGTATCCAGAAACCTAAAGGTAGCCACTACAATGACCAGAGGAAATGTGTTATCAGCCACATTGAATAGCTGAAATTTTGGAATGTCCCTCAAAGATCAAATAGAGTATGTATTGTAGTAGTCCAAGTACGTGGCAATGAGACCATGAGTAGTTGTAGCCAGCACACTAGCTGAAATTAGGTAAGAATTTATTGGCCATAGTTTTCACTAGCTGTTCCAGCAGAAGCTCAGGGTCCAAGTGAATTGTCAGATGATATACCTATTCTATGAGGGGGAACACAACCCCATCCATTCTAAAAAATAAAATCCCTGAGTTTTGTCTGTTCATTTCCAGTGGTGGAATTCAAAAACTTTTACTACCGGTTCTGTAGGCATGGCTTGGTTGGTGTGGTGTGGCTTGGCGGGCATGGCAGAGGAAGGATACTGTAAAATCTCCATTCCCACCCCACTCCAGGGGAAGGTTACTGCAAAATCCCCATTTCCTCCTGATCAGCTGGAACTTGGGAGGCAGAGAATAGATGGGGTGGGACCAGTCAGAAGAGGTATTTACCAGTTCTCCAAACTACCCAAAATTTCTGCTACCAGTTCTCCAGAACTGGTCAGAACCTGCAGAATACCACTTATGATTCATGCCAAGATAGAGACGTATGGCTGAGTATCATCAGCATAGTGATGATAGTCCAAAGGTGCTTTTTCAGGAGGCGACTGGAGTTTCTTGTTTTTTTTCTTTTGAAGACGTTTTGCTTCTCATCCAAGAAGCTTCTTCAATTCTGACAGGATAGTGGGGAATGGATTTACGTATATTCCTTGCAGACAGTTCATAATCTGCTTCCTTTTAGCAAGTTGTTGAAGCCCTTGGAGTTTTATCTGTGTCCTCAGGGTCACTTGAGTAGTGCTCCTGATTCCTGTAGTCTGCATTTTTCCCCCTGAAAATCCATTCCTACTCCCACATCATTCAAAGGCTGTTCATCCCAAATTGTATAGCTAAAAGTCTGTAAACTATCTTCAAAATAAAAAAAACAAGGAAGTACAGTTGCCTCCTGAAAAAATACCTTTGGGACAACCATGACCTGGATGACTGAGAATCTCTACAGACTCATAGTGATATTTTAATAATGATATTTTACCTCAGATCAGCAGGTAACATCTCATGATTTCAAATAGTTGTTAAATAGGATGGTGAAAAAAGCTACGGTTGTCCCAAGCACTCCATGGAATAGGCAAAACTTTGATCTTTCTTCCCCCTCAATATTGAGTAAAACCATCAATTTAGGAAGGAGTAGAATCAGTGTAAAATATGTACTTTCAATCCCCTAACCTTCACCCAGGAAGATATTATGGTTGATGTTATCAATAGGTCCTGTGAGATTCCTGTGAATCTAACAGGATCAAAAGGGCAGCATTCCTTCCATCCTGATTCTGTTGCAAGACATTCTTAAGCACTACTAATGGAGTTTCTATCCAAGTTTGAACCTAGTATCCAGAGAATCCACTTCTGCCATGATATTCTGCAAATAAACCCACACTACTTTACTCCAAAGTCTTCTCCCAAAAGGGAAAGATGAAGATGGGGTAGAGATTGTCCAGATTTTCTGGATTTAGGGATCTCCCATTCAGAAAGAGACATAATGCTTCCTTTAGTGCAGAGAGCACTATCTACTCCCATAAAAAGGAATTCATGACTACCCCAATCCAGCTTCCAGGCCTCTCATTAACCAGAAAAGCCAAGATTCCAACTCCTACATGACATAGATTGAGAACCTTGTCATATACTATCAAGAATCTTTCCATTTATTTGGAGTCCACAGCATCAAACATATCAGCATATTCCTGATAACCCACTAGATTAGAACTTAGTTCCATGCTCCTTTTAAAGTTTCCATAAGTATCATCAAGCACCCAAATCTGATTTTTAAAAGTACTCACAATATGAGTTTTATCAGGCTGTTGGCTCATTTGAATGACGTAGTCTTCAAAGGAATTATTGTTAATGTGAGCATATACCAGGTTTTTGTACTGTTTCATTTTTCATTATTTTGTTTGCTTTGCTTTTAATATTGTACAACACCCAAAGTTACTCTGAATTGAGTGGCCTTACAAATCTAATTTATTTATTTATTATCAATAGCTGACCGAAACATTTAGTCTTCCAAATGCTTTGCACAAAGGCCACAATGACTGAAGCAAGTAGTATTGCTAGCCAATCCTCACCCTTAACAGAAGTGTTGGAGAGCAATCTGAAGATATAGTAGTTGCCACCCTAATACATGCTTCTACTATGTTTGGTCAGTTATTTTCATTTTTTTACCATTATCACACTAAAGAGCTCTTCTGCTGTGTCATGTCCTGAAGTTACTTGGTAAATTCAGGAGTATATTACTGAAACCTTCTTATTCTTACTGCAATTACTGGGGTGAAACCAATTGAAATAGGGAGATTTATAAAGGTAAGTCTGTTTATATTTTACTGAGCTTTGTAGAAATAAAATGCACAATTTATAGCTCAGAATTTATAGCTTCCAGTTGATAAGGTAGACCATAACCTACCACTACATAAAGTAGAAGAATGTGGGTTGGACAGCATCACCACCAGATGGATTCGTAACTGGCTGACCAACCGCACTCATTGTAGTCCTCAATGGAACTGCATCTACATGGAGGGAAGTATGAAGTGAAGTACCCCAAGGCTCTTTTTTAGGCCCATTACTCTTAAACATCTTCATCAATGATTTGGACGAGGGAATAAATGAGGATCTCATCAAATTTGCAGATGACACCAAGCTGGCAGGAATAGCCAACGCTCCAGAAGACAGGCTTAAGATACAG